ACCACATTAGGATTACAAGTGGGATATGAGTGGATTTAAAGGTTTTGGAGTCATTTTTATACCAATTTAATGGAGTTTCTTTTTGGAGGTCTGAAATGCTCTTAAAGGCGGATCTGCAGGTACACTCTGATGCTTCTGGTGATCATGGCTTTAGAGTTTATTGGAAAGATCAATGGGCGGCCGAGAGTTAGCCTCGGTCTTGGGTAGATAATGGTTGGACCCAGGATCTTACTTTTCTTGAACTCTTCCCTATTGTGGTAGCAGTTCATTTGTGGCCAACGCAATTTGCAAACAAAACTGTTTGGTTCTGGTGTGATAACCAAGCAGTAGTCCATGTGGTGAACTCCCAAAGCTCCAAATCTTTGAAGGTAATGGCATTGGTTAGGTCAATGGTTACACAATGTTTGAAGTACAGTGTATTTTTCCAGGCTCTCCATGTCCTGGGTTTACTAAATTCTTTGGCGGATGCCCTTTCCCGTTTTCAGTTTTGCAGGTTCCGTCAACTTGCCTCGGCGGCAGCAGTGCAACCACTGGAGGTACCAGCACATCTTTGGAGCCTTGGAGAGTAGAGATTGATAGGGTGATTTTCCAGTCTGTCGCTCCTTCGACACGCAAGTCGTATAAGCTCACAATTTGAGCTTTCAGGCAGTTTCTGTCTGTGGTGGAACAGGCTGAGGTTTGGCCCCTGGGGGTGGAAATTGTTTTGCGTTTTGCCATCTACCTTAAGCATTCTGGTTTGTCCCCAGTTATGATCAGGGGGAGGTTGGCGGCTCTGTCCTTTTATTCTAGAGCGGGGGGGGAGGGGTTACTGACCTACTGTGGACTTTAGGGTTTGCAGAGCTTTGGAGGGATTGACTAGGGAGCTTCCACTGGCTTGCCGGTATTTGGTAATTGCTTGCTGGTAACAGGAACGATTCTTATTCATATCTGACAATCCCTTCAAACTGTGTGTTCCTCACTCCAGGAAATAATTCTCTTTAGAGCAGTTTTTTCTTTGGCCTTTTTTGTGGCCACTAGAATTAGTGAACTTGTCCCTAGCTCCTGGTCTGATAAATCAGGCAGGGCACTTTGTTTATCTGATGTTCAAATTGTGGAACACGGCATTCACGTCTGTTTCAGACGTTCGAAGACTAATCAGTTGGCTAGGGGCCAAAATGTAGTTTTGTTTAGGGCATCTGAGGGCCAGATCTGTCCTATTTCAGCATTGTCTGACTACCTCATACTTTGCCCCACTGCACCTGAGTACTTGTTCCTTCATGTCTCGGCCTTCTGTTGACCCAGTTCCAATTTTGAGCTGTGCTATGGGAGACATTGAGGCGTGCTGGTTTGCCAGTGGATCACTTTTCTTCACATTTTTTTTTCAAATCGGTGCAGTGACTGCTGCTGCTGCTCAGGGCTTGAGTGAGGCTGTGATCCAATGGATCGGGCATTGGCGATCCAGGAATTTTAAATTCTACATCCGTCCTTAGTGGTTCTGTTTGTAATGTCAATATCGGTTTTTTAGAGTTGTCTATTTAATGTAACTTCCGTTTCTATTGAGCAGGTTTGGAACAAGGTGATGAATGCATCATTGGTCACAGCCTTGTTTTTTGGGCTGAGCATCACATCCTTCAGTCTCGCCGAGACCCAAACCTGGGGATAGAGGAGATCCATCGGATATGCTGGTTTGGACGCAGAGGCATGCTGTGGGGAGCTCTTCTCCCACGCATCATTGAGCTTTTGGTGACTGTGACACCGCCCAAGATTCTTGTGGTTCACTTGGGTGAAAATGATTTAGTAAAACTTCCTTGTTTCCAATTGGCCAAGCGAATCTTGAGGGACATGCATGACATCCAACAAAGATTGCCACAAACTGTAGTTATGTGGACCAAGTTTTTGCCATGCTGTACTTGGGCAAGGGCAAGGAAGGACTTCTATCAATGCGTCTCGTTGTTGCTTAAACATATCAGTGGCCAAGAAGTGTGGGGGTTTGGGGATTTTGGTGGTGGAGCATGTGGGAATTCAGATTTGTATGCCACATCTGTACAGAGGCGATGGGGTTCATCTCTCCCCTGAGAGATGTGATATATACTTAGATTAGACTGCTCATCACATTGAACAAGCTCTTGGAGGGGGAGGGGATGCCAAGCTAGACTTGCCCCCTCCTGTGGTGGGCAGGGACCCCCCCCCGGGGATAATTCAGTTAATTGGAATTCACCAAATTGGATTATTTGTTTGGATGAAGAGTAAACGTAATAGGGTTAACTAAATTCTCTATGACGTCAGCTACCAAGTTGATGATTTCACAACTGGATTACGTCATGTGTTTAGTTATGATGTTATATCCGGTGGTGATGGGGGGAGATGATTTATTGAGTTGTTCTTGCCACATGTTGAGAAGGGCTTGGTTTACCCTGATAACAAGTTTAGTTATCTGCATTGACACATGTGTCAAGAACAAAATAATTATGATAGATGTTATTTTGTTAATGAAAATGGTTGATGACCCTGTACAGATAAATAAAGTTGTGACCAATTTTTACCCAAAATAATTGCACATGGAATCTTTTTGTGCTGGTGCAAGAGATGGTTAAGAGGTTATATGATAGCACTGTTTAAGCATTTGAAGGGATGTCATATTGAGGAGTGACTAGGCTTGCTTTTTGCTGCTCCAGAGAATAGGACCCAGAACAATGGATGCAAGCTACAGGAAAAGAGATTCCACTTGAACATTAGGAGGCACTTCCTGACAGTGAGAGCAGTTTGACAGTGGAACACACTCCCTCAGAGTGTGGTGGAATCTCCTTCTTTGGAGGTCTTTAAACAGAGGCTAGATGGCCATCTGTTAGGGATGCTTTGATTGTGATTCCCTGCATGGCAGGGGATTGGACTGGATGGCCCTTGTGATCTCTTCCAACTCTATGAGTCCATGATTAAACAAATGTATCTGTAATGAGATATAGAGAGGAAATACCATTTGAAAAAGAAAAAGATTGGTAGATTATAATTAACAGTATGCTGGATACAGAGAAACAATTCCACAATATTTCTGTTGTTTTGTTGGTTGTTTTGTTGTCTGATTTGTTTTTATAACATTGTAGTTTGCAAGTGTTTATGTTATTGTTTGTTAGATTACTATAAAATGAACAAAAGAGAGCTGTGGTGGTGCAGTGGTTAAATGCCTGTACTGCAGCCACTCACTCACAAACCATAAAGTTGTAAGTTCAGTACAAGCCAGGGGTTCAGGCTTGGCTCAGGTTTGCACCCTTCCGTAAGTGGCTAAAATGAGTACCCAGCTTGATGGGGGCAATTAGCTTACACATTGTAAACCACTTAGGGAGTGCTTAAGTGGTATAGAAATGTACTTGCTAATGATATTGTTAAGTATAATTTAAAAAACTAGCTATGTTTTAGAATTAGCTGTGACTAAGTAGGATCTTCATGTCTGTTTTATTGTAACACTTTACTGGTCTTGTCCACAAAGCAATGCACTTATCAATAACTTTCTCAACTATTCATATTTTGTCCTGCTCAGCTTAGTTATTATGTTAAACCCATCTCCTATTTTTGTCCCTTTCTCTTTCAAGCCATCACTGAGACTGAACTTGTTACTCCACCACTATGCCTTCATGTTTTGTGTATCAATTGCATTCATACACTCAATTCATACTGCTCTTTTTGTAGACAGGTCTGTCCACAGGTAAGTCTGTTCACTCCAGGCATCTGATCAAGTGGACTGGGATCTAGGAAAATTTACACCAGATTTTTTTCCTCAGTTAATCTCAAAGGTGCTACAGGATTTCTTTATATCTTTTAATGTTAAAATAGATTACGGTGCAACTGCACTTTAAAAATGATGCAGTCTGACACCACTTTAAGTGCTGTAGCTCCATTCTAGGATTTGTAGTTTTACAAGGTATTTAGCTTTTTTTGCCAGAGAGTGCCTGTGCTTCACAAAATACAGGATTCTGTAGGATAGAGCCATAGCACCAAAGTGGTGTCAAACTGCATTATTTCTACAGTGTAGATGTAACCTAAAATAGCTGTCATTGAGTCCTTGAAACCATCCACCTTATGCTTTATAATGAGCATGAATCCAGGCACTTAGTTTTTTCCACAAGGCTGCTATACATATTCTGCTAATTAACCTGGTATGAACTTTCTAGCACTTTGTCCCGACAGAAATGTTATACTCCTAGCCATTGCCACAATACCTCCTCCTATTTTGTTTGTTTGTTTTAAAGTAAAAAATATACGCATAAGTAAGCCGTACTGTATCCAACAGACCTTAATCCTAGCT